CAGCCACTGCATCGCTGTCAATCTCTGCTTCTCCCCATCCCAAACACTCCTCCTCCTCCCAAACCCCATCTTCATCCCCCCCAAATGCATGCTTCCCACCTTCAATCCCTTCCCCTCCCCCTGGCCCGCCGCCTGAACCACCGCCATCATCGGAGCTCCGACCGCCTCATACCTCCTCACCGGATCCCTCAACTGCACCACCACCATCAAAATCAAATCTTTAGCTCCACCATCAACTCTCTGCAACCATTCCTCAATCTCCGCCGCAGAGTCCAGAATCCACCTCCCATGGCGAACTGGCGAGACCTCGAAAGGGGCTTCCTCTTCCTCTATCCCAGCCTCCATCTTCAACCCTTCCACCGCCATCACCTCCATCTTCTGCAACGAGAAACAGAGAACTTCCTCCACAGACTTCGATGGCTCCTCCCTCACATTCCAAATCCCGCTCAAAATCCTCTCCTCCCTCCCCTCATTCATTGCTCTCGCCATTGATTTCAGATCAGCTACAGACTTCGCTGCCGTCGAATTCGCCATTCCTTTCTTCCTTCCGCTAACAATGGCAGCCGCAATTCCTTCAAAAGCAATCTGTTCCGCAGTTTTGCCCTCCAGCTCATCCATGGAGGTCAGCGATTGAAGCTTCGATTCGAGTTCTTGAAATCCCCTCGCTGAAAACCTCTGGAAGAACTCGAATCCTGCCGACGTGTTTGAATCGGTGATGATGATGGGTTTGGAGATCTGCATTGCGAGCTTCGGCATCTCTCTTCTCTGAATTTTGATGTTGAATGGATTCATGGAGGTCAGATATCCTCCATCTCTGGTCTGAACTACAGAACCCAAACCCTTCCCTAAGTCAGACAGATAGCTTTTTTCTTCTTTGGGATGGACTTCTTCATCTTCAACCTTTAATGAATAGTTTGCTGTATCTTCATCACCTTCAAGCTCCAGCATCTGAAGGAACTCTCTTGTTGCCCTTTCTTCCTCTGCATCAAGCCCCTGAGCTTCTCCTCCTTCTTTGCTCATCATGGATTCAAGCGCCTTGATTTGGTTTGCAATTAAGTCAAGTTCAGTCAATCTGAGTGAGTGCGCGTTGTCGTGGACCACCTCCTTCACCACCTCGCTCGAGGCCGAGGCCGCCTTAGCCACCTTGGCCTCTTCTTCCCCTCCATCGCCGACCTCAATCCCCTTATCGATCACGTCAAAGTCAGGGAGATCGAGGTCCTCAACCTTGGCCTCTAGTTCAAGTTGAGATTTTGGAGAAGTGTCTTCATCTAAGTTGAAATCTTCAATCCCTTTCAATTCAAGGGCTGAATTGCCATCTTTGGTTGGCGGCGCAGACGGTGTCCGTCGCATGGACCTCGGGCTGGAGATACTGAACGATGACTTCGAATGCCGTCGAGCAATGGAAGAAGACGAGTTGTCGGAGCCCTTGAAGCCTGATTTCGTCGGAACCTCAGCTTCTTGGTCATAAATTCCCACTCCACCATCCTCCATGATTTGAAACCCTAATCTCATTACCAATTCTCCTCCCTTGGCTTTACCTGAAAGCTTGAATGTCATGTCCCATTGCCTAATTCTAGACCCCTCCAAGCTCCTCTCTATGGATTCCTTCACTAAAGAGCTCAGGTCAATGGAGCTCCGACCAAATTCGAGCTCTGGGGCGTCGATTGCTATGGTGGAAATGATGAAAACACGAGGTTCGAATCGGAGTGGCTTACCGGTGTTTCTGCCGCCGCTGCAATAAACATGGGTTTTGATAAAAAGAGTTTCTTCAAAGTCGGCGGTGCTCTGCACCGCTCTGGCGGGCATGGTATTAACAACCCCTTCCTTCGACTCCTTCTTCCGGACACTGATAATGAGTCGGAGACCGTTCATCGATGCTGGAAGGGATTGGATTCCGACGACTTCGACGGAGAAGAGGATGGAAAGGCGTTGCTTTCCGATGTGTGAAATGGCACGAAGGGGCTTCCAGTTCCAAATCCCCTTCTTCTCTGTGTCGGTCAGAGGGTCAGGGATGATTGAGGAGGGTGTAGGTTCCGGTTGCCGGCGGGAGCGAAATGGGGACATGGAGGAGCGGCGAGGGCGATGGCGGGGATCGGAGGAAGGGATGGTGGTGGTTTTGTTGTGGTCTGCGGTGGTGATTGCATCGGAAGCACGGGGAAGGGCGAGAGAGGCTGTGCGGCGGCCAGTGGTGTGAGCTTGGTAGAGAGATTGGCTGGGGGGGGCGAGCTCTTGGAGGAGCTTGTTGTTATCGGTGTCAGCCATGGGAGGAGGAGGAGGAGGTTGAAGAGATGGAGCCATGGGGGGAGAGACGAGTGAGCTGGAGGAGGAGGAGGAGGATGAAGAGATGGAGCCATGGGGGGGAGAGACGAGTGAGCTTATGGAGGTGAAGGGAAGGGGCCAAAGGAGTTTGGATGGGGTTGAGGGAAATGAGTGGAGGAGGAGAGGGAGTGAATGATTGGGATTTAGGATTTCTTTTCTTGTGGCTCTGTTTTTAAGTTTTGGCGGTGAAGTGGAAAACGGTATTTTAAAAAAGTATTTTAACGGTCGAGTGGGCGTTTGGAGTGCTTGGAGATTCGGGTTTTGGGGTGTTATATTTTCATGATTATATTATATTATTGTTTTATACGGTACTTGTTGTCTTATAATTTTTATTTTATTTTATTTGGTTTTTTTTTCAAATATATATATATATTTTTTGAAAAAAATAATATTTATTTCTTTTATTATTATGGATGAAAGAATTTGGAATTTTTTAATTGTTTAGTTTCTTTGTTAATTATACTGGAGATACTGAACGATGACTTCGAATGCCGTCGAGCAATGGAAGAAGACGAGTTGTCGGAGCCCTTGAAGCCTGATTTCGTCGGAACCTCAGCTTCTTGGTCATAAATTCCCACTCCACCATCCTCCATGATTTGAAACCCTAATCTCATTACCAATTCTCCTCCCTTGGCTTTACCTGAAAGCTTGAATGTCATGTCCCATTGCCTAATTCTAGACCCCTCCAAGCTCCTCTCTATGGATTCCTTCACTAAAGAGCTCAGGTCAATGGAGCTCCCACCAAATTCGAGCTCTGGGGCGTCGATTGCTATGGTGGAAATGATGAAAACACGAGGTTCGAATCGGAGTGGCTTACCGGTGTTTCTGCCGCCGCTGCAATAAACATGGGTTTTGATAAAAAGAGTTTCTTCAAAGTCGGCGGTGCTCTGCACCGCTCTGGCGGGCATGGTATTAACAACCCCTTCCTTCGACTCCTTCTTCCGGACACTGATAATGAGTCGGAGACCGTTCATCGATGCTGGAAGGGATTGGATTCCGACGACTTCGACGGAGAAGAGGATGGAAAGGCGTTGCTTTCCGATGTGTGAAATGGCACGAAGGGGCTTCCAGTTCCAAATCCCCTTCTTCTCTGTGTCGGTCAGAGGGTCAGGGATGATTGAGGAGGGTGTAGGTTCCGGTTGCCGGCGGGAGCGAAATGGGGACATGGAGGAGCGGCGAGGGCGATGGCGGGGATCGGAGGAAGGGATGGTGGTGGTTTTGTTGTGGTCTGCGGTGGTGATTGCATCGGAAGCACGGGGAAGGGCGAGAGAGGCTGTGCGGCGGCCAGTGGTGTGAGCTTGGTAGAGAGATTGGCTGAGGGCGTCGAGCTCTTGGAGGAGCTTGTTGTTATCGGTGTCAGCCATGGGAGGAGGAGGAGGAGGTGGAGGATGAAGAGATGGAGCCATGGGGGGGAGAGACGAGTGAGCTTATGGAGGTGAAGGGTTGAAGAGATGGAGCCATGGGGGGAGAGACGAGTGAGCTTATGGAGGTGAAGGGGAGGGGCCAAAGGAGTTTGGATGGGGTTGAGGGAAATGAGTGGAGGAGGAGAGGGAGTGAATGATTGGGATTTAGGATTTCTTTTCTTGTGGCTCTGTTTTTAAGTTTTGGCGGTGAAGTGGAAAACGGTATTTTAAAAAAGTATTTTAACGGTCGAGTGGGCGTTTGGAGTGCTTGGAGATTCGGGTTTTGGGGTGTTATATTTTCATGATTATATTATATTATTGTTTTATACGGTACTTGTTGTGTTATAATTTTTATTTTATTTTATTTGGTTTTTTTT